AGCCCGGCTGCCATGCAGGAGGCAGTGTGAGCGCAGACGCAGAGCCTGCGCCGCTGCGCAGGCTGCCGCCCGGCCGGCCGGCCGGCGGCGCGCTCACTTGATGGTGATGCCGCGCTCCTGTTCATCCGCCCGCGTGTCGGTCAGCCGCTGGTCGCCCGCCTGCTCCATGGCGATGATGCCCGCCGCCGCCACCAGGGAGTCGGTCAGAGTGGACTTGCCGTGGTCCACGTGCGCAATCACTGCAGGGGGCGGGGTGGCAGGGAGCGGTGTGGGTGGGCAGGTAGGCGTGGAGGAGCGGCCTGGCGGGTGCCGGCCGGCGCGGGCTGGGCTGCGGCGCTGACGCCAACCCTGCGCCGCCGCGCCGCTCACCGGACATGTTGCGGATGTTGTTCTTGTACTCCATGAGAGCGCGGATCTCCTCTGCAGCGCAGCGCAGAGCAGAGCGAGGCGGCGGGAGCATGCAGGGGGAGCGTCAAGAAAGGGTGCCCGGCAGGCAGCCCGGCCACGCCGGCATCAGGCCTGCACCCAGCCGGGGCTCCAGCTGCCAAACAGTATGCTGGCGCGCCGGGGCCTGCTGCCAGCCAGCCCACAACAGTGCCAGCCTGCAGCCTGGCAGCAGCCGCAGCGGCAGCAGGCCGGCCGCCGCTCCCAGCCGCCGCTCCCCGAACCGCCAGGCAGCCAGCCCCAGGGCGGCAGCCGCGCGCACCGATTGTGAACTGCACACAGTACGGAGGAGGGGCGGCTCAGGGCGATGATCGTGGCGGGTGGAGGGTGTCCGTGACACCCGCCGCACTCCAACGGCGCAACTCAGGCACCCAGAGGCGCGTCCTGGGGCTGGGCAGCGGGGGAGGGCCGCCCCAGGGGTCCCGCAGCGGGCGCCAGCATGCCATGCACGCTTGCATGGCTCATCACCGCCGACACCGCCACCCCAACGGCCCCAGCATTCAGCGTTGCCCACCTTCACCATCCTGAAGCTAGCTCAAGAAATCCGGCCAGCTCTTGGGCACCCCGAGGGGAGAAGTGCTCCCTGTGATGGGAGTGGGTGGGGTGTAGGGAGCACGGTCTGTGCTCTGTAAGAAGGACCGGGGCAGGCGAGGAGCGCGACCTGAGCGGGGCGGCACATGCTGCATTCTTCCCGCCGGGGTCCGAGCTCGCCCCTCAGCCGCAGCCAGCCGCGCCGAATATGTCAGAGCCTGCGGCGGCAATCAGGCCGTGCCGAGCTTCGATGAGCATTGAATCCGCGCCGTGGGACATCGCCAGGGCCCGCAAATCGCGCTGGCTGGCCACCCCCGCCTGCCGCTCAGCTGCCGCCGCCGCCGCCGCGGTCACGTGCAGCGTGTATTCACGGAACTGATGTCGAATCAAAATTGATGGTCCGTTGGGTCGATGTAATGGCTGGTAAAATACACCAGTGGGTAGCAGGTAGCGGAAGAACAAAGTCAGCAAGATGACAAGACGGAAACACAAACAGCAGCAGGGGCCGGCGGGAAAAGGAGTGGCGGCCATCAGTGCTTGTCCTTCCTCTTCTTCTTCTTTTCCTGTTGATTGACGCCATCGCCTACCGCTGCCACCCCTTGCGCCGCCGGAGCCGCCGCCTCGCCCTCCGCCTTTCGCTTCTTCTGCTTCTCCTTCTTCCCAGAGGCGGCCGCCGCCCCCGCCGCCTCGCCGCCGTTCCGCTGCTGCGCAGGCTGGGCCTGGGCCTGGGCATCACCAGCCTGCTTTGGCTTGCTCTTCTTGCCCTTCTTGCCCGCCGCCTGCACACCTTGCTGCTGCTGCTGCTGCTGCTGGGCAGGCGGCGGCGGCGCTGCAGACTGCGCCTGCTGCGGCTGCTGCTCCCCGCGCTCCGCCGCATTGCACTTCTTCCGCTTCTTCTGCTTCTTGCCAGGCGCGTCCTGCTGCTGCTGCTGCTGCTGCTGCTGCCCTGGCTGCTGCCCCGACTGCCGCCGCTGGTCTTTCCGCCGCCGCTGCTGCTGCTGTGCCGCCCCCGCCGCCGCGGCGGGCGGCGCTGCAAAGCCGTCGGCCCCCGTGCCTGGCTGGAGCAGCGAGCCCGCCAGGCTGACGAACTGGCCAGAATGCTGCACCGCTGCCACCGTGAAGTGCAGCTTGGTGCCCACCTCCAGGCGGTGCCGCGGCGCCTTGCTGCTCACCCAGCAGCGCTCCTGCAGGGCGCGGCGGGGGCGGGAGCGGGGGGGGAGCGGGGGGGGTGGGCAGCGGGGGGCGAGGCGGGCGCCCCGGCGGCGGCACGCCCCAGGCGCCAGAGCCAGCAGCGGCACGCGTGCAGGCACGCGCCCGCCCTTGGCCCCACGCCCGACCGCCACGCACCATCGGCCGCGGTCTAAACTCCGCTCTAATCTGGTCTGCGGCGATGGAGACGTTGATGAAGCCCAGCAGCAGCACACCAATGTAGTCGGCTCCCACCTTGTTCACCATGCCCACTGCACACGCGCGGGGGGCGGCAGGCGCCGGGGCGGCGGCAGGCGGCGCCGGTCAGGAGGGCAAGAGGCACGGGCAGCGGTGCCGGGCTGCGAGGCAACAAAGCCAGGCTCCCGGCCTCGCACCACACAGGCACCTCCAAATGCAGCAGAGGACGGGGAGAATGCGCCTCTCTTGCGACAGGGGGAACCCAGATAGGCTCCTGAAGCACTCAAATGGTACACAAGATGCGTGGCGGCACGCCCCCGCAGCTCGCTCTGCACCTAGGCGCATGCCGGCTTTGGGGTGGAACAGCACCCCGTCTACCGCCACCTCGACACGCACAAAGGCAAAGTAGGGGTGTATGGATGCCTGCCGCGTCAGCAGCCGCGCATTGCTGTAGGACAGCATCACCCCCTCCAGGTCATCATTGTATCTGCGGTGCCATGGGAGGAGACAGCTTGGGCATGCCAGTCGAGGGAGAGCGGCAGGCAGAGGGCTGGCAGGCCAGCAGCATACACTCCAGTGAGGGCAGGCATCAGGCTGCACAGCTGCCGCCACCAGCCTGCCTGCCACGCAAGCGATAATGAGCAGCCGATGATGCGCTGCAAAGCTCTCAGCTGTCGCGCATAGCTGCCACCTGGCCGGGCGCCGCCGCCTCACCTCAGGAGCAAGGAGCTCAGGTGGGCGCGCACGCCCTGGGCTGCGCTGGCGAGCTTGCTGGGGTGCAGGTCCAACGTAAACTTTGTCCTGCACCGCTCCAGCCCCTCCATGATGCTCTCGTGGGGGCGGTGGGATGATGCAGGTGACGGCCAGGGCTCGGCAGGGGCGCACAGCCCGCTGGGATGCTCCCCTGGCCTTCCGGCGGATGTCAGAAATCGGCGAGGGCGCGCAACTGCGGGCCTTGTGCAACCAGCAACCAGCATGCACCCTGCACGGCAGGAGCCCTGACACGCTTTGAAGGCGGCTGGAGTTGGAGCGTTGCGATTGAGCGACGGTGAATTGGGGCAATGAGCCACCAGTAGCAAGGACGTCCTTCCAGCGGCGCAGGGCCTCATGCATGCATGGCCAGGCGGCCCTTTTGCACAGCCATTCCGCCATCGAAAGCATCAGCCTTCGCAATCGCAGCTGTGACCCATATCCAGGTCCCCACAGCGCAACTTGGCGGCATGTCTGGTGCGGAGGAGGTGAAGCAGGCGCCCGAGGCGATGCAGGAAGAGGCCGCGGAGGAGCAGGATGCAGAGCAGCCCAGCAACAAGCGCAAGCCGGAGGAGGCGGCGGCGGGTGATGGTGCTGCCGGCGAGGGCGACGCCCAGCCCCCAGCCAAGGTGCAGAAGACCGAGGGGGACGAGCAGGTAGCAGGAAAAGAAGGAGAAGCAGCAGCGAAAGCGCCGCAGGAGCCCGTGACGATCGGCTACAGGACCTTTGCCACCGGCAAGCAGTGCTACGACTACTTCCACAGCCTGATGACCAAGCTGCGCAAATACCAGAACCTGAACGATGTGGGTGGGAAGGCATCACTTCACATGCCGCCGCCGCTCCGCCGCTGCCGCTGCCGCCGCCTATGCCGCTTCTCGCTGACAGCTTGCCTGCCCAACCGGCCTGCAGTATGAGTTCCACATGGTGCACGACCTCATCAAGAAGGGGCACCCTGAAGCAGCACGCAAGGTGCGCCCACAGGCATCGGTGGGGGTGCCTGCTCACGTCCCTGCACCCTCGCCCGAGTGCTCGAGCTGCCGCTGTTCCGCCCTGCACCGTTGTGTGCCCTGCCAGGGATGGATCATACGGGCGCTGTGGGAGGCGCTGTTGCAGCGCGCACTGCCACCTGCAGCGCTGCTGCCACTTGCAGCCTGTGCCGCGGGCAGCCGAGCACCCTTGCGCCTGGCGCGCAACCTTTCCCGCCAACCCTGCCCGCCCCGCTGCTCCCCCTGCCCCTGCCGCAGCTGGAGGGCGGCGTGCGCGCCATCCAGCTGCGCGACGTCGACATGGGCCACGCCGTCTCCTCCTGCTTCTTTCTCATCCACGAGGACGGCAGCGACGAGGATGTGTCGTACCGCAAGTGCCTGGCGGGACTGTTTGAGGACCTCAAGGAGCTGGCCGCAGGTAACGCGTCGGGCACCGGCCAGAAACCGCGCGGCGGGCGCGGCGGCGGGCGCGGCGGCGGGCGCGGCGGCCGGTTTGGGCGCGGCGGCGGCGGCAGGGGCGGCGGCAGGGGTGGCGGCAGGGGCCGCGGCAGGCACTGAGTGAAGGCAGGCAAGCTGTCACGCTGCAGAGGTTGGGATATTGTTAGGCTAGTGTATACTGAACCTTCTAGGCAGATACCACTGTTGCTTGCGTCAGACATCCCGCTGGAGCGCCCTTTGTGCCCTGGTTTTCACCTGTGCTGTTTCTCTCTAAGCAAGTGTTAAATAATCTGTGAACGAATAGCAGCACTTCAGCAATGCAGCAAGGAGCAGGCCATCTAGGGTAGGAGTCGTGGTGGAGTGTCGGTTCAGCCGTGGGCGGCGCTGGCGGCGTTGCCGCCTGGCCCCGCCACCGAGACGGCCGTGGCAGAGCCGGGGTTGGTGGCGGAGACGGCAGCCGCCTGGCCGTCCGCCTGGCTGATGGCGGCGCCGCCGTCGGCATGGGACACGGCTGTGCCGCCATTGGTGGCCACAGCGGCGGCCAGGCCGCAGTGCTCGGCGTATGCCTGGGCGCTGCTCTCATCATCCTCCGCCTCCAGCTCCAGCTCCGCGCACTCGGTGGCGTTGTAGGCCTGGGGGAGGCAGGGGTGGGGTTTGTGTGAGGCAGAGGGTGGGCACCTGTCGACAGCAGGCGAGTGCAGGCGCGGCAGCTATGAGTGCAGGGCAGGCAGGCAGGCAGGCTGGCCCCGCACACCGCGGTATCGTCACCGCCCGTCAGGGAGTCGGCGCCATTGCTGCCTTCAGCAGCAGGGTCCGGGGCGGGGCTGGAGAGGAACTGCACAGCAGGCGGCAGGAGACGAGGGGAGGCGAGCGGGCATCAGGCATCAGCCAGAGTCCTGCCCATGGCGCAAAGCAGGCAAGCTCACCGGGTTGGTGCTGGCTGTGGCGCTGGCCTGTGCGGCAGCGGTGGCGGTGCCGGATCCTGTGCTATCTGCGGTTGCAGAGGCGGTTGCAGAGGCGGTTGCAGAGGCGGTGGCGGTGCTGGTGGGGGTGGGTGCTGCGGCCTCTGTGGCCGCTGTGGAGTTGGGAGTTGCGGGGGAGGCGGCGGGCGCGGGCTGGGGGCCGACAGCGGCGGTGTCGATGGGTGCTGCAGGCAGGTGTGGAGGCAGGCAGGGTGTGTGAGGTGCGCCGGCTGGGCGGAGCTTCTTGGCTTGAGCCCCCAGGGCAGCAGCAGGCAAGCCCCAGCCCCAGCACCCAGCTGCTGCTTCCAACCTGCCACCCACCCGGGTTGGCGTCAGCCACAGCCTGCGTGGAGGCGTCGGTGTCCTGGGTGCAGGCGGCAGCCGCCATGTCCACGCCGCAGTAGCCGCACGTGTAGCGGCAGTAGCCCTTGCTGACCAGCCAGCACATCTCGCCTGCGGCAGGGAGGGTGGCAGGGCGGCGCGGTCAACCAGCGGGTCAATGTGCGCACAGCAAACCCATCGCCCAGCCGGCCCTCCTCGCCAGCGCCACTCACACTTGCCCCACTCCTTCTGCTGGGCGCATGAAAACTGCTTGGTGGGCGGCACGTCGTCGTCAGCGCAGGTCGGCTGGGGTGCGGCATTGGCGGGGATGGCCTGGGTGGCGGCCGCCGGCTGGGCGGCCGGGGCGGGCTGAGTGGGGGCGGCACCGGCCCTGGCCACTGCAAGCAGGCAGGCAGGTGCGGCAGCAGCGCTGGGTGAGATAGGAAGCGAGCCAGGGGCGCAGCTCGCTGGCCTGCCGCCGGTCAAACATTGGTCAACACGGCCGCCGACCTTCCCACCCGCACCGGCGCTGGCGCTGGCGCTGGCCCTGGCCGAGCCGCGGGCGGAGGCAGAGGCTGTGGCAGTGGCTGAGGCGACCTGGTGTAGCTCGCGGGCCGCCAGCGCGGTGGGGCCGGCGGCCGCCAGCAGGCAGGCCAGGGCCAGGGCGAGCGTCTGGGGGCGGTTCATTGCGTCTGTGGGCGAGGAGGAAGGGGAGGAATGGGCAGAGTGGGGGCGGTGTACCTGTAGCTCTATGGGAGGGAGCTGGCTTGCCAGGCTGTTGTGCCTGGCGCGCATGGGACAGCTGTCACCAGCTGGCCGCATCAGACAAGCCCTGTGGCAGGTTGCAGCTCGCGATCGTCCAGGGAGCCCTGCTTCGGCTTGTCAACCGAGGTGAGAGGACATCGAGAGAGCCTGGCCGAGAGCGCGACCATTGGCCCTGCTCTGAGAGGCGCCGGTGACCATGGCGGCAAAGCGATGCTTCTTGCACCCTGAATGTGACGCTGAGCCTGTGCTTTCTTTGTGATCCATACTCAGCTAAGCCGAGCCTCAGGCCGTTCGGCTGCTCATTTTGAGCCACCAATCGAGCCCGAGCCCCACCGTCTGTTGCCCCAGCTGCTCCTCTGGCGGTTGCTGCCGCTGCCGCCGCCCCGATGCTTTGTACAATCATGCACTTCACACCTTGATGAACTTTCACACTGCCAGTACTTTGATACCCAAGCTGTGCTGTGCTTTGCCGTGCTGTGCTGTGCCGTGCTGTGCTGTGCCACCTCAGCCTTCTCTGCAACTTCCGCTTGCTTGAGCCCAAACGTGTTCATGTGGAATGCATCGAATTTTCCTTTCCCCTGTCTTATGCGAGCATAATGTTAGTGATCAACACGGTTTTGCGGCTGCTGCCGCTCCTGGTCTTAGCCCTGCACCCCGTCGCGGGCGCTCGCTGGTTGCTGGCGGAGGCGGGCGAGTCCTGCAACGCCACGGCGGCGGCTTGGAACTATGACGAGTGCGCACAATTGTATTTCGGCGACGTAGGTGGGGAGGCTGCAAACTACACACCCGTGCAAGGCTTGCAGGCGGGAACCCTGTAGGGTTGTTCAAAGAAAACCCTGGCAGCATGGAAGCTTGAGCACAGTGGACCCCGACAGCTTCAGGCCGTCCAGCGCACCGGCGCCACCCGCCTCCCTGTCTCGGCGCCCACTCCCTCCCCTGCAGGCTCCACGTACCCAACAGTGATGCCGGCTGTCGGGGGCAGCGGCGCGTCGACCTCCTTCCCTGCCGGGGGGGTGGCCAACGCCGCCATGCCAGTGATGGATGCCGCCATGGCCGGGGCCGGGGCCGGGGCGGCCGCCGGCGGCGGCATCGGCGGGGCGGCCGCCAGCGAGACGCTGGGCTTTGCTACGGGCGGCGCGCAGGACGTGGAGAACTTCCGCACCAACCTGGAGGCTGGCTACCTGCCGCTGCCCACCGACCTGACCTACGAAGGGCTGGCCAAGGACTACTACTTCGACACCTCCTCGTGCGTGGCCCTGGAAGGCTGGGCTGCCTTGGGGAGCCGTATACATTCCTGCAAGCTGCCGCACCAGATGCTTGCATGCATGCTGCGTCTTGTGTGGGTTGCCTGCAGTCCAGCGAATGGGGCCGAGATGCAGCAGGCTGCCTGCGGGCTGGCGTCTCTGGTGCCCCCCCCACCTGCTCTGCACACCCCCACCGCATCTCCCCTCCACGCTCGCGCCTGCAGCAACGCCACCAAGCCCTGCACCAAGCTCTTCTGCCCCCTGTACTCGGTGGGACTGTCGCCCGACCCGCTGCTGGGCACACCCGCCTCCTCAGAGTTCTATATGGCGGTAGGGCTGGACTCAGGTGGGTGGGCAGGGAGGGGGGGGGATGCCTGCGGAGGAAGGCGCAGGGGTGGGAGGGGCAGGCGGAGACCTGGGGTTCCCTCCCGGGTGTGCAGCTGAGCGGGCAGCTGTTGCCAGGGCCTTGCCGGCGTGGCGCGTCCCTCGGCAGCCACCTCCCGCCCTGCTCCTCGCCCCAGCCTGCTGTCGCCGCGTGGCCTGGCCCCGCCCCGCCGCCTGGCCCTGCAGGCATGAAGGCCGCCGACTTTGCCCGCAAGCAGCTCAACCTGGTGGTGGTGCTGGATGTGTCTGGCAGCATGGGGTCGCCCTTCGACTCCTACTACTACGACCAGACCGTGCAGCCGACCGCAGGCGTGCCGGACGAAGGTGCGGGCCGGCGGCAGCCGCTGCCACCCATCGTGCGTGCCGCTTTCGCCGCCCGACGCCAGAGCGCGGCTGCTGCTGCGCCTGCCGCTGCCGTGTGCGAGTCACCCGTCTCATCCTCCGTGTATTGCTAATGTCTGCCATCCTGTGCATGCGTGCTGCAGGCGAGACCAAGAAGAAGATTGATGTGGCCAAGGAGGTGCTGGCCGGCATTGTGGGCCTGCTGCGCCCCGACGACAGCCTGTCGGTGGTGCTCTTCTCAGACGCCGCCTGCGTGCCCAAGCCGCTAGGCCCTGTGCGCTGCGCCGACGTGGACAAGCTCAAGGAGCAGGTGGGGCGCCGGCAGGCGGCGGCCGGGCAGCTGCCGGGGTGGTTGCAGGCTGGCGCGGAGTCGCCAGCCCTGCCACCCCTGCTGAACCCCTGACCCCCGCAGCTGTCCGCCCGCCTGGCCCTTTGCTGACCTGACCCCTGCGCCGCACATGCGCCGCCGTTGCTGTGCTTCCCTCCCCCACCCTCCAGATCTCTGCCGACGTGGTTGAGATGGGCGGTACCAACTTCCAGGCGGGCATTGATGCCGGCGGCGCGCAGCTGACGGGCTGCGCGGCCTGCATGGAGGCCAACGCAAGCCTGGTGGAGAACAGGGTCGTCTTCCTCACCGACGCACAGCCCAACGCGGGCGACGACAGCGAGCAGGGCCTGCTGGCACGCATCAAGGCGCTGTCGGCAGACGGCATCTACACCACCATCATCGGTGGGCGGTGTGGCCGGGTGGTGGGGAGGGCGGCTGTGGCCTGGGGAGTCTGGCTGTGGCCTGGGTGGGGGACAGGTGGGCAGCTGCATGGTCTGCCTGAGGGCTGGCGTTATGCCCGGCGGCACGTGTCGAGGCGCCCAGGCACCAGCCTCCCCACTCCTGCCTGCCCCGGCTACCGCCGCCGCCGCCTGCTGCAGGCGTGGGCCTGGACTTCAACACCCAGCTGGTGGAAAGCATCGGCAAGGTCAGGGGCAGCAACTACTTCAGCGTGCACACACCCGGTGAGCCAGCCTGCCGCGGGCCTCAGGCTGCTGCTTGCTTGCAGCCACCGCGCGCCATTCGCCTCCTGTGCGCCATGCGTCCCGCCGTCGCTGTGGGGCTGGCTGCTGGCCCCGCTGTGCCCGCTCCCCTCCCTCGTGCGTGTGTGTGTGCCCCTTCCTGTGCCCCAGGCGAGTTCAGGCGGCGGCTGGTGGATGAGTTTGACTATGCCGTGACGTGAGGGCGCTGCCAGGGCCTGCTGCTGAGGGGCTGGCTGCTACTGAGGGGCTAGCCTTAAGGGGGCCCAGCTAGGCAACGACGCCTGCCTGGAGCGCTGCCGCCGCTGCCGCCGCTGCCACTGCGGCTGGTGATGCCATGTTGGAGGAGGCTTCGCTGCCTGCCGAGCCGCCTGCCCTGTACCGACTTGCCCTGGCCCCGTTGCCTGCCCCGGTTGTTTGTGCAGCCCCCTGGTGTTTGACCTGGCGCTCAGGGTGCGGGTGGCGGGGGGGGAGGGTGCAGGCGGCGGGGATGAGGATGGGTGGCAGATCCTGCACGTGTACGGCAGCCCCAATACCAACCTCACAGCGCTGTCCAGCGACGGCACCGTCATGAAGGTGGGAGGGTGCAGTGCAGTGCGGTATGGTGTGGTGCGGTGTGTGTGCGGCAGCACTGGCTGGCTGCCCTGCGGGCTGCGCGTGCGGGCGCTTCTGGCCTGTGCTTCGACAGCGCCCTGCCACGCCTTGCCCTCCTGCCCCGCACCGCTCACTCCGCCCCGGC